TCAATTTGCACATATCAACAACGAAATTGTTTGCTCTGCGTATGTGGCATGCCACACCCCAACACCACCCCACCCCCCAACCCAACCCAACCCAACCCAGATCGAAGCAAGCCCAACGAAACGTGCGAAATGAAAAATCAGCAAAAGGGAGAAATAAAGTTGCACGGCATGCAGCATGGGAGCCAAGTTGGTTGCATTTAGCAGCGACTGTGTAGCTTTTTCCACTTCCGCTGTCTTTGCTTTTACTGTTGTTGTTGCTGCTGTTGTTGAAGTCGACGTTTTCTATGTTATCTATGCCATCTACAAATTTCATTTGCCATGCCTTTAATCTTTGTAACAAGCTTCTGTGTTCGGAATCAGTTACAGCAGCAGCAATGGCAACAGCAGCTCCCTCCCCACAGCACAAACATAATTAAATTTATTTAAATTTTTCGCAAAACCAACAACAAGCTGCGATAGCAACGCATAGCAATCCAACAAATAAACAGAAATCCCAGTTTTATAGCCGTAATGATACGCTTTTTATGACTCGTCACGGAAGTGTCTGGCAGTAGCAATGCCGTGCTTCCTGCCTCCCAACTCCTGCCTGTAGCCTGTAGCTTCATCGCTTCTCTCTCTTCCTCTCTCTATCTCTCTGCTTTTCGCTTTCTCTCTATATATATCGCTTTCTTCATGCCATCAAATTGTTTAAGCAAACATAAAACTTTACAAATGCGCGAAGCGCCGGAAAAAACGCTGTTGTAGCTACCAATTTGCATTGCGTCTTGTTCAGGAACTAGAGCTGAACCAAAAACGTGAGCAGACAAAACTGTTAAAGGAGCTGAAATGTGCTGCCATTTGAAAAATTGCAATACCCTATAACTGATGCTTTGCTGCTTTGAAATCAAAGCAAAGACATTAAAATAATTCAATATGAGTTAGATATTCATTATGAATATCAAAGATTAGCTAAAATATTTATTAATTCTATACGATTTCGTTTATTTTTTATTTTGAAACGCTTTTGAGAATAAAAGCTAGTTTTAACAAATTGTTCTTAATAATAAAATTATTATTATTATTGAGGAAATATATTTAAAGCAAACAGCTTAGAACCCAATACTCAAAAGTTGATTAGTTTCTGAATTCAGTTTAGCCGTAATTTCTTATTGGTTTCCAAGTAATTACAACAGAAGGTGTATTCTCCAAATAGGCAAATTCTTATTTCTTATTCTTAATGCATTTTCAATTTTAATCTTAGATGTGGAAATACATTTAGTGTATTTGTATATAAACTAAACACAGTTATAATTTATTCAACTTCAGCTTAAAAAAGATCTCTAGGTTCTTCTTTTTTTACCAAACCAAGTTTGTGATTGTGTTAATTTCTTGTTTATTTTATACTTACATTTCCAATTGTATATTTCAAAAAAGAACCATAGAAAATGCGTAGTTCGATACGAAGCAGTTCAGAAATCCTAAGTTAAATATTTCTATATATGACTAAAAAATACATAACGGTTGAGCTGTTAAAATGACTAGTACTTTAACATATGAGTTGTTGCACTAGGAACTAATTAACATTCAACAAAAATAAAATAAAATGCATATAAATATTACTGAAATTTATTTTCTAATTTAACTGACAATTTTTAGAAAATTAAAAATGTTGCTTTAGCGTTGAAAAATATGCAGGAAAACCTCATATAAATATTACTGAAATTTATTTTCTAATTTAACTGACAATTTTTAGAAAATTAAAAATGTTGCCCATCAAAATATTAGTATATTTCAAAAAAATTCACTCGTCTGCCACATAAAAAACTGATGAAAACTTCCTTTTAGAGATCTTTGCTTTCGCGTTGAAAAATATGCAGGAAAACCTCATTTTAAAAATGTTTTGCTGAGCGTTTTCTTTTCAAGCTGCCATCTCCAATCGGCAGATCTACCGCCCAATTGCGGGCGTGCGTAGCTCATTACAGCCACAAACCAATATGCTTATTGCTGCTTGGGCTATAAAAACTGTTAACGTAAGCGTAAAATGCTTTCAAGTGCTTGGCAAATCCAAACGACGACTGCCAGCGCGTCTTGGCAAATGAAACGAGGACAGACAGTCAGATAGACAGCCAGAGAAACAAGCAAGCAAGGCAGTTGTCCTGGGTGTTTATAATGAGCAGAGGAAGCTGCGAAAAGAAATATATATATGTATATCATTTGTATATAGAAAGAAATTCAGAAAAGGAATTATCTGCTGCTGTTGCCAAAAAGCAAACTGGCATTAAAGTGTGCGTCATTTATTGACATATGCACGGCATTTATTGCAAGTTGACCGAACGCTTATTTTGTTCTCAAATATTTTTATTTTATTTCAACTTTCCTTCAAGCTCAAGTTGCCTAAACTAAAATCTCCAAACGCATTGTTGCACAGGCAGCAAAAAAAAACAAGAAAGGAATGCTAAAGTCGAGCAGGCTCAACTCTTAAATACCCTGTACCACCCCACAAAAAAGTAATTTAATTAATTAATTAATTTAATTTAATTAATTAACTAAATTAATTTAATGAATTAACTAAATATTAACTAATTAAATATAAAATATTCCATGCATGCATACATACATTTACATTTACATCAGTATCGTGCCTTATGCGTGTTTGTGTACTTGTACATATGTATGTATGTGTGCATTGGGCCTGGTTATATGGCTATAACTTTCTTTCCGATCATTCTATCATAATGAAACTTGGTATACGGATATATAATTACTAACCTAATGTGACTACCAAATTTTAGCTCAAAATTCCAAGAATTACGGGAGTTATAGAAAATCAGTAATAGGGGGGGAGTGGGGGGTTGGATCAGAAAAAATGAACAAACTCGTCCTTTCTTGGTCTCAGGAGAATCTGTGTACCAAGTTTGGTTATTCTAGCTCTTATACTTTCGGAGATCCTTGCGTTCATACAGACAGACAGACGGACAGACAGACGGACAGACAGACGGACAGACGGACAGACGGTCAGACGGACAGACGGACATGGCTATATCGACTCGGCTTGTCATGCTGATCAAGAATATATATACTTTGTGGGGTCTACCAAGCCTCCTTCTGTGTGTTCCATGTGCACTCGCACAAAACTAATATACCCTTGTACCCTTTGGGTACAGGGTATAAAAATGAAAATGAAATAAAATAATAAATAAATACGAACCCTGACAAACATGTCGAGAAAAAGTTTTACGCAAAACTTGCCAAATGATACTCGGTAGCAAGCAGCAGCAGTAGCAACAACAACGACAACAACAACAACTATAAAGCCGCAACAACAGCAAGCAATGCAGCACATTACAAGGCAAATTGTGTGTATATATAGTATGTGTATGTGTATGTGTGTGTGTGTTGGCAACAATGGAAATTTTGTTGTTGATTTTTTTTCCTCTTTCTTGGCAAAGTGTGTGTTGCTGTTATACAAAAAACTTTAAATTATTTATACAAGAGTCTGCTGCACAATGTTGTACACACGAATAACAACAACAACAACAACAAAAACAACTTGCTTGAGAGATGATGTGTATTTTAAATATATATATATATATTGACCCTTGGCCATATTAAAAGCTGTATTGCAGCCACACCATATGACAGTTGACTTTTGAAAATAAAACAATTTGTCTACCAATATTCATATTCGATAGAAAATTGCCTCCGGCATTATTTGCCAGCTCATAGTTCAAATTCCAAAAACAATTCACAGTTTTTTCTTCTTTTTTTTTGTGTGTGCAACCAGAAACCATAAAGACCATTTATGCATACAATTTTGCGATTTAGAAGTGCAGGTTTTTTTCCAAAGGCATTTTCGGCTTTAAAATGCTGTTCTATGATGGGGAAAATGAATTTTTAGAGCAGGCTGTGAACAGGAAATTACTTCAGAGCCAACAAACATTAAAATTTGAAATAATATTTTCGAATTCTTTCATCAAAAACTTTCAGTTGCAAGCAATATTTTCATTTTACGCAAATAATAAAAATTAATTAGAGAACCATAAGCGTTAAAATTAGTTTAAGACAACTATTGAAAATATATTCAAAAATAAATTTAAAACAAAGCAAACACGGGGTGAAAAAGATGCAATAATAGCAATCAAATCTAAAAGATTTAAACAAGCTGAAAATAAGAAATTACTTCACAGCCAGCAATATTATGGAGGAATTCAAACAGTTCCTAGTCTATTCCATCAATTTATTTATACTTACATCAATAAATTACAGTACATATTATTAAGTACTAAATACTCTTATATACTCTGTTTGTTTCTTCATTTACTTTTCGCACCTCAGTGTCTAGGTGTGCTATTTGTTATTATTTATGGTTGTCCACAATTCCCAATATAATCATCAATTCCAAGAAAATTAAGCAAATAACAAAAAAAGCCTCTTCATGGACTATTTAATAAGTTATAAAATTTAAATATAAATAAAATGGGCTTATCCTAAGAAGGGAAAAGGAATTTAAAATGTTCGAAAGCAGAGTTAGTTAAAGTTTTTTCCTTCAAGAGTACACGTATAACATTTATTTAAATTTACAAAACTTTTTTAATCAAATTAGGTCATTAATATTATATATAAAAAGTATCAAAGTTTCTTCAGGACTCTCAAATGTATAATTAAAATATTTTTTGAAACTTAAAACATATTCCAAGTTAGTTTGTAAGTAAACAGCCATAACTTTAACAAACACTGAAAAGATGTTTCCCAACTAAAGTTTAAGTTTGTTTAAGCTCTTTAAGTTAATGGTGAAAATAATACGAGTAAGTTATTCATAAGCCGCAAATAACAATTTTATATAATATATGCATATAACTTTTAATCGAAACAAACAAACGACTAAAAATGAATAATGAAAAAAATCGCGTTTACCGAAATATGTCAACGCGTCGTCAACAACGACCATAACAATAAAATAAGCAAATAACTCAAAAATAAACAACAACAACATACTAACCCGTTGCTGCCGTACATTGCAGATGCAAATTTTTCGGATTTTCCATATATCCAATACCTGACACGTAAGTTGGTTCGACGGCTCGTTGGCGCGCAGCTTAGAGTTGCACGAGCAACATTTAAATGCGCGTAATATTTAATTTCAATAAAATTCATAAATCGAATTGATATGTTGGGTAAACTACTTACGTGGCCCGCTGCTACGTTCATCATCACGATGATGGTGATGATGATGATGATGACGATGATGCTGATGATGATGATGGGAAAAGCGACCTGGGCACGGCTGCATAACATGCATGTGACAATATTTTGCTGTTTGTTTAACGATTCGTGATTTCTGCCAGATTTTTAATGCTGCGCAGTTCCTGTACTGTACGCACGAGTGTGTGTCTCTCGCTCTCTGTGTGTATGTGTGGCACGTACGCCGGAACACACACACACACACACACACAGCTGCTACCTACCCGCATATATGTATGTTTGTGTAAACAAGACTCAGCGTTGTATTGACAGCATATTGTGACAAATATGTAAAAAATATACAAAACACAAACGCACACAGATACAGATACAGACACAGACACACAAACACAGAGATATGCAGCGAAATATGACAGCGAAAATGCATTTGCAGAGCCGCCATTTTGTTGGCTGTTGGCATTAAATGTGTTGCCTGCTTTAAAGCGCAGCTGTGTCCCACCCAGGTCGCCTGTTCCCCTCCTTCCTACCAAGGCTGTCATAGCATTCAAAACATTTACTAATTGAATACCACGTTCTTTTGCACATCTTTATAGATCCACCGGAGATCATCAGGAAGCCACAGAATCAGGGCGTGCGTGTGGGAGGCGTGGCCAGCTTCTATTGTGCAGCAAGGGGCGATCCACCGCCATCGATAGTTTGGCGCAAAAATGGCAAGAAAGTATCTGGTGAGTAAAGTTAATTCAAAATAAACTGCATTCGCAGCAGAATTATTTCAAATTCATGAAAAAAATAGTAATATATTCGCCTGAAGCTCGAATTTTGCGTAGAATAATTGCTTTCAGTTGCGTAATTATGAGATAAAGTCATGAGCTCTTTTACCTCCACCCTTAAATCCCCTTTTATGTCTTCATTTTCGACTGTTTGTAAGTTGTTGCTTAACCAGCTTAATATAGAATTATCATACTTCCTAACAACAATCGTATTATTAGTTCAAAAATTTTACTTTGCAGCCTCAAACTCAATTCTAAACTCTCAACTCTCAACTCTTTCCCACGCAGGCACACAATCACGGTACACGGTTCTGGAACAGCCGGGCGGTATTTCCATTTTGCGTATCGAGCCAGTCCGAGCGGGACGTGATGATGCGCCGTACGAGTGCGTAGCGGAGAATGGTGTGGGCGATGCCGTTTCCGCCGATGCAACTTTAACCATCTATGAAGGTAAGTGATGGGAAACCAAGAACTCTCAACTCTCTCTCTAGCTGCTAGCCTGCAGCTATTTAGAGCAAGTGCGATGCAGTGCGCCTTAATTGAAGTCGATAACTGAAAGCGGCAAAGCCGCAGAAGCAGCAGCAGCGTTTGGCCAAAAGTTTCGGCTGTGTGTGCGGCGTAATGTAAACAAAGTTCATACATTGATTTTGAATTAAAACTGGGTAAAGAACTTTACATGCCTTGGCGTAAATGGCAACAACTTTTTCCCCAAGCGGCTCCCAGCCTGACTATAAACTAGTATGTGTGTGCGTGTGTATTGGAAAGAAAGGGTGGAGGGGGTCGAGGGGGGCTAGAGGATTGGAGGTTAGTGAAATGGTTGGCTCGAAACTTGTTTGCCAGCTTGTTTGTGTGGCTTAAATTACTTGCCAAAATTTACTTTTGCTTATTTACAACTCTCTGTGCAAAGGATAAAGTTTTGCCTAAGCCTAATCAAGTCTATGCCCCATCTGGGGGAGTGAGGTGGCACGGCAGACAGTAGTGATGTGAAGTGAGGCTGGCAATTGAGCTAATTTGCTTAAACCGAGCGACGACGACGACGACGACAACAACGAACCGGCCAAGTATTTATAAATTTGGAGTAAATTATAAACCACCTAAAACTTTTCTGCACAAATCAATAACAATTTTTCGCCCAGTAGCAAAACAAATTGTTGGCACAGTGGGCACAAAAAACTGTAGACTAGAAGCAACTAGAATCAATTTATTTCTTTGAACACTTTTCACTTTTCACAAACGCTTTGAAATAAAGATAGAAAGTGTGAAAGATATCCAATAAGGCAATGAATTAAAAAAACTATTTCTATACAATTTTAATTCTTGCTGCAACATAAAATTGTTTGTAGAAACATTCCATTGCTGAAAAAGTTTCAATAATTTGACTATTTCTTTTTGAAAATCCCAAAACTTCGCAAAAGTATGCTTGTTTATAGTTTCTGGAAGTGAATAACGTGCGATGAAAGTTAAATCTTGGCCATCAGTCATTAATTTGGCTATCAAACATTAATTTGTTTCTACGGAAAATCCCATTGCGGGAAAGGTTTCAATTTTGTTTATGGTTTCTAGAAGTGAAAAATGTGCGATGAAAGTTAAATCTTGGCCATCACTCTTTCTATTTATATACAACTTTAATTCTTGCTCTAAAATTCAGAAAATGACATTATTGAAAAGGCTTAAATTATTTTAATATTTATTTTTTAATTATTTTATTTATTTATGTGTTATTTTATTTGTTTGTTATTTTTATTTTATTTATTTATTTATTTTTTTCTTTTTTGAAAACAAACTTCATAAAAGTAGGGTTGTTTATGGTTTCTAGAAATGAAAAATGGGCAATGAAATGTTTATTTTCACCACCAGGCTTTATATTTATATACAACTTTAATTATTGCTGTAACATTCAAAAAATCACATTTTTGAAAAGGTTTCAATGATTTTAAATGTATTTTTATTTATTTTATTTTATTTATTTATGTTTTATTTTATTTATTTATGTTTTATTTTATTTATTTATTATAATTAATGGTATTTTTTTGAAAACAAACTTCATAAAAGTACAAGCATACTTTTCGTTTCTTGAAGTGAAAAATGTGCGATGAAATGTACATTTTGGCCATCAGTCTTTATATGGCGAGTATTGTAGGTCGGCCAGGTGTTTGCGAGCCATTTTGTAAACGGAAAATAATTACCAACCCAAGGCAAAGGAAAACTATCGCTGAAATTTATGTACGCGGCGTATGAGTAATGTGCACTACTTTACACTGAGCCAGCCAGTCTCAACTTATAATTTACTGTCTAGCTTTTTAGTTGTTGTTTATTGTTGTTGTTTTTGTTAGATGTTATTGTTTATGTGGCCGCTGCCGCCATTCAACCGCAAAATGTGTGAAAATTGCACGCCCGAGTACACCCGAAGGCGCCAAACATATTTGATACCCGGCCTGTAGTTGTGGGGCTTGCATTTTTAGTTCTTGTTAATTATGCCGCTTGATTATGCTCTCGGCATACGGCGAGGCGCCACGTAATTGGTGTGCATTTGATTTGTGGCAGCTTGTAACGGTTCACTGATACCAGAGCCATATGGAAGAAGGCGAAGGCCGTCTGCTGTGCACTTACTATACACGTATACTATATAGTAACTACAACGAGGGGAAGTAATTAGTGTAGTTTAGCGAAAAGTACACACCATCAAGAAGGTAGTAGCAGCAGCAGTAGAGGAAGATGGAGCAAAGGTATGAAATTTTGACAATAAAACGATTTGCAGCCTTGACCATTTACGAGCACAGTTTGTTGCTAACTAATCCAACTATTCAGACTCAAAGGCGACTTGGCAACTGCAATCAAAGTTAATTTATATTAAGCCACAGCTAGCTCCTCTTTGTTAACATTAATAGGTGGAAATTTCATTTAATTTTAGAAGAATTTGTGCAGTAAATAAAGGCAAACATTTGTGTTACCGGGCAGTAGTAATATGGCTAGCTACATCGCTTGTTTTTATAAATGTCGAACAATGTGGAATAAAAAAATTGAAAGATAAAATTAACTCCCTGCAAAGTCTACGAGCTCAGTTTTACTTTCTTGGAAGCCTGCATTGCGACTTAATTGATTTACAAATTTATTTACTGCCCTTTTGTAAAGCGGAGAATTAAAACATCAGTATATGCATATACTTTCACTTCAGCGATAAATAAAGTAAATTAAGCCTGCATTTAAAGTGTCAAGGATGTATTGAATAAGTGATTTAATCGTTGCTCTCATTAACTTGAATGGCAAGCCGTTTTAAAGCCACATGTGGCTTAAATATTAAGGTACATGTCATGTGCATAAAATAATGTTATAATGTAGATAAAATGCATATATTTGCAAGTATATGTATTTATGGTAAACATTATATTTATATTTTAACATCAATATATTTTCTGTCTATTCTTATAAAAGTAACAAAATTGTTGAATTGAAAAAAGCCTCTAACGTGCTTGTCGCGATGATGTGAAGCTTTGCATGTGTGAAAATATTTGCCCAATGGCCATAAATATTTAAATGAAACATAGAAATCCTGTAGGCAACCATTTTTCATTTATATTCTTGTAACATTACACTTCAATTACAATTTAAAGCTTTTTTGTTGTATTTGTTTTATTTTTTTTCTATAGATGAATACAGATTGCTGCAAGTTTTGCAAGAAATTCAATTCTTTCATAAAATAGCATTTATTATGCCACTATAACACCATAGTATTAAATATATACTAGTATGGAAAAATATCAATAAAAATCAGTTTATTCACTCTTAAATGGCAGGTGTTCACAAATGTTTAGCATTCATGTAGCCATAAACAATTTGTATTTGCTAAAGAAAGCAAGCTCCTTAAATATTTAAAACAATTATTTAAATGTGTAGAAGGTTAAAACAAAATTTACCAATTTAATTTAATTCTCAGCTATTAATTCAGCGTACGCTTTCGAAGCTTTGTGTTCCGTTTTGCATATCTGTGCATAAAATTCTTGTATATTGAAGTATTAACAAATATTTGACCATTTCCCATTGGTCTTTGATAAGAATTTAGACTTGAAATAATTTAATTAAATTAAATTAAAAAGGTCTTAAGTCTTTGTGCTATTGTCTTTGAAATACGCTCGGTTCTTAAAATCTTCAGTGCTGCTTCAACCTTTTCGCTTTTGTCAACCACAGACTACAAACAGTCGCCACCCGCCACCCCCAACCACAAATCTACTCTCAACCCGCTGCCTCTGCCTCTGTCTCTGCTTGGCTGTGCCCCGCTTTTGTTTAGTACTTAATTAAAATTTTGTATTCCATCACGAGGCCAAGTGTTGCGGGCCCTGATCCCTTCCCTCCCAGTTCCCTTGTTCCTAGTTTTTTGGGTCTGTTGAGCGCCATGCAGCGTGAAGCGCTCCAACGTGCCACAGGGCGGTTACGTAATACGAAAATAATAATGCAGCAACATTATAATAAATACGCAGCGAACAGTACTCGTAACAACAGTAACGACAAAAGCGACAGAAAAAATTATCGCATGCAATAAATTTTGAACGCAAGCAATCAGTGAAGAGCAACAGAATGGGGCAGCGTAGAGGCGAGGCATAGGGCAGGATGCCACCGGGGCAAGGACAACAGACAACAAATTGTAAACACTAAATTCTAGTAAACTGAGGAGGTAACTTCATGTGGGGAGGGAGAAAGCTTTGCTTCCTTTTACATTAGCACTAAATCGCACACACTAACGCCGCCAGTTAGTTAAACGTTTTGCGCATAAATACACGCAGCAGCCGGCAACAATACTATCCTTACACACACACACAGACACAACGATACAGCTGGCGGTGTTTTTTGGTGGATCTGCTAGGCAGCAGGCGCCCACCCACCCACAAGAAATTTATCTGCAAGCGGCGAAAATCCCTGCTGCAGTTTGTTGCCTCCATCCAGCCGTTAGACTAATCTTTATTTCGATATTTGCATAAAAAACAAACATGTCAAAATTTGCCTGCGTCCGCAGTTACCCCCGTTCTGCCCCCCCCCCCCCTCCCTTCTCCCAACCCCACCTTTCCATTCCCTCCTCCCTCTCCTCGTCCTTCGTTGCCCGTCAAATGCAACCGCATGAATCGGCGCTGGCGCCGGCGCCGGCGGTTTTGTTTCTGCTTAACGTCGCCGTTTGTTTGCTTGTGCGCTCGCTCGCTGCTGCCACTACATAAAATGCAAGGCAAAGGATTTACTACGATGGCTGCAGTGCCACGCCCACCCCCCCGCCAACCGCCCACAATATTACTTGACGCTGTCAGTGAGACAGAGTCACGTTATTTGCAGGTGTTGCAATCTATCCGATGCTGTAGGTGTGCCGCCATCCAAGCAGCGGCTTTGTGGTAAGAAGTAATAAGAGCTACACCGCCACGCACACACCTAGCAGCCCAAATATGTATAAAGGGTGTCCCACGAGTCAG